GATTTCCTCCGGAAGCTGCATCCTTAAGTCTCTACGCACCGATTAACATTTACATTTCCTGTTTAGATAGCACAACAAAACAGCAGATTTAATACGAAAGCACAACTCAATTAGCACAGAGTTCGATGCAAAGCAAGAAAACATTTCCACACAGATTAGCCAAGCCATGTAACGGGTGTGCTTTTGGTATACAGAGCCTTCTCTATCAAATATTTAGGGACTTAGTATGCCATCGGGAATTTAGACAAATTGTAGTAAAAAAAAAAAAAAAAAAAAAATCATAAGCAGTTCTTCACTTTGAGTTCGATGAGTTAGCACGAGGACAGCAGAACTATGCTAAAAATAAACAAAAAGGCTGCCGTTTTTAAAAGCCTGAAGAGTTAAATGCATGTTCAGTAAACTTTTATATCTGATACTCTCCTTCTCCTCCCATCTAATTATAATGAAACAATATGATGAAGATGCTTTATTGGTGAGTCAGGCAGCATGGATCCGAGCACGGCAAGACTCACACAGCTTTTCAGTGCTACGTTAGCACCGTCCCCGCAGAGACACAGATGTGTTCCATCTATTCTCCCTGGCATTGATAGGGGCAGCAGGCATCAGCAGCCCGAGCTGGGAACAAAGATCCAGTGGGACACACCAGGCACCCGCACGCAGCCCAATATTCACTGCTGTCACCGCTGTTACTGCACGCTGCGGCCTTCATGCCATCCCATTCAGTGGTTCGTGTGATTGAGAACAGATGTGGTGCGACTGCTCGTTTTCAATTATCAAACAAAGGCTGAAAGTTGCATCCCCAAAATGAAAAGCTGGCACACACTTAATCTTCCTTACCAAGCCTCTGCTATAATTATCTTTGGGCATGAGGAAGGAGAAAAGACTGTCAAATTAACTAACCTCCCCACCCTCAGGCCCCAAAACCAAAACCTCTGAAGATATTTTTAAGAAGTCACTTATTTGAATGCCAAGGATTGAAATGCAAACCTACTACACTTGTGTTTTTTTCTTTTTTTTCCTTTCTCCTTACTGCCTCCAAAAACAATTTTTCCTATCTCGAGTGGTTACTCAGGCTTCTCCTCCTAGAACATTCCTGCAGCGCAGCCTGCCTGCACAGAGGGGGCTGTACCTCCCTTGCATTAGCTGCTCATGCAGCAAAGAAGGAACCCAAAAGAAAAGCTTCTATGGGGCATTCCTGGTCCACAGCCCTGCTTCCACATCACCAGTTTTTCATTGTTATCCAGGGAGACAGGACTGAAGCAAAACTCCTGTTTCGAGAAGTGGCGGCATCCAATTCAGTTCTATCTTAAATTTGCTCCTGTTTTTGTTAGCATGCAGGAAATACTGCTGTTGCTATGCAACCCAGAAAGGTTAAAAAAAAAAAAAAAAAGCCAACAAAAAACCAACAACACCCACCATGTACTAAAATAGGGCTCAGCCTCCTGCCTAGAGGATGCTCTGGAAACCCACAGAGGTTGGGTGCAGTTCGGATGTTCACAGATGCCCCTGGAGCTGCACAAGACCAGGTTGGATGGGGCCCTGGGCAGCCTGATCTGGTGGGTGGCAGCCCCTGCCCATGGCTAGGGGTTGGGACCAGATGACTTTCGAGGTCCCTTCCAAGCCACGCCATCCTGTGATTCTCCTTGGTGAGAGTGCCTACATGCATGCTGCAGAGATGGTTCTGCCTGAAAGCACCTCGTTCCCTTGCACAAATTGGGCTGTCTGGCATGGAACATCTCTGCTTCAAACCCCCCAAACAGCACTGAGCAGAGCCATCCTCCCCAACATGGGCTCGCAGGCAATTCCCAGTCAGCATGAGGCAGTTTCCCCCCTTGCTTTTTGAGAGCAGAGCCTGACCAGCACAATTCTCTCTGGGCAGAGCACTCCCTAATCACAAAACAAGATTACAGATGAGCAGCCGCAGTAGAGGCAGGAAGCCAGCTTTATGAAAGTGAAAGAAAAGAGAAGGGTCTGAGCTGAAACACAACGGCTTTCTTCAGGGTCCCTGCTTCTCTCAGGGAGCAATGAACATTGTGCTGCCCTCTGGGTGCTTGCAAGGCAAGGACTTATCACAAATGCAGTTGTTAGAGAAGCACAGGCCACATTTGTAGGGTGTGGTCTCTTACAAACATTTCCAATGGCCTTTCTTATGCTTCCATTGCAACCTAGGATGGAACTTATGACCTGAAATTGCAGCAGTTAGGCCAAGAGTAAACACCTCTGGAAATAACATGCCAAGTTACTAATGGGGTTAGCGGCATTTGCTCCAGGAGCATTTACAGTATCAGCGGACAACAACAACTCGCTGCGTTTTACTCAGTCTCCTTTCCACAAGTTCTCAACAAGTCTGGACCTTGAACTATTAACATCGTCCACACAAATCGTCTTTTTTTCTTACTTCAGTGGAATCATTCACTCACTGCACCCAGCAGAGCACAGCTTTGGAGTGAGCAGTGCCTCCTGCCCAAAGCAGGGTGCAGCAGCACATCCGCTCCATGCAGGTCCATAGCTGCACAGAAGGAACAGGCACTCAAAGAGCAGTTTCCAAGAAGATGACTAAGGAGAACCAAGCATCTTAAGGAGATCCCTTCAGAAATGTACATAGAATCCTTTGAGTTAGAAGAGACCTTTAAGGGTCATCTACTCCAACTCCCCTGCAACGAACAGAGCTTCGAAAAAATACGGTGAGCTGATCAGCCATACAGAATACTCCAACTCTGCCAAGAACCACTGCAGACATGCTTACTTGAAAACAATTCTCCACCCAGCTGTTGATTTGATTTCTCACTGAATTTTTTCAGTCTTTTTTGAACACAGAAAAGAAACTATACTTAAATTTAATGCTGTTCTCCAAAACAAGTACAAATCTATTTCAGGCCAACAAAACAACACCTCACTTCCAACCACATTGTAAAGTTAGTCTCCTGATCTGGAACACGTACAGCTGACACATGCAATTCCTTCCTTTGTGACAGAAGGAGCACGTGATCAGAGAAGTACAGATTCACTCTTATCATTAGTTATTATTACTTTCTGATTTTATTATTTACTACAGAAGACAACATCTCCCCGCGACTGCATTTTGCACCAAAGCAACCGGTTTCCATTTACCAACTAAGTGAGGGTGGAGGAGAAACTTAACACCTCTGGCCTGTATGTCCCAGTCTGCAAAACATAATATGTGCTCTGGACAGCTTGTAAGGACTATTTGTGGCTTCACACAGCACAAGGCTGGGACTCATGTGGTGTGGGTTCAGTTCCTCGCTGCACTCTCAGTATGATGGTAACACCAGGGAATCCCTCTCGTGTCAGATTCCTGACTTGCAAATTGGTACCAAGTTTACCTTGTTCAAACTTCATCAGGATTCACAGGCAGCTCAACTGGCAGGAGCTGGATATTTCAGAAGGAAAGCTTCATGAAGCACTTTGAGCTATAGATTGAAAGCTAAGCATCTTCTCTCTCCAGTGAGAGTGAACCTACAGATCTAGGTGCCATGACTCTGCAGGGCAGGGTGGGTTTCCACAAGGAGCCAAAGTAGGATTCTTTAATTGAGTTATTCCTTTTATACATTAAAGGTTTGTTTCTAAAATAATTTTAATTGGATTGCTTACCTCCCCAAGATAGAATGCAATATTAGCATTATCTGCCCTGCATTCTTGTATATTCCCATAGACGGGCAGAAGGATGCAAAGCCATGCAAGGCGCCTTGCGCTGGGAAGAATTTGCCTTTCATACAGATGCTGCACAAGTTCATGCTTTCTGGAAAATTGGGCAATTGATGCAATTATTTCTGTCATCATGTGCTCAATACAGCTGCCTCACAAAATGCCTTTCCTAGACATAGCTCAGTGCAGGGTGAAGCAGACAGAAGGACTAGCAAATCGACTTGTTGATAGCTGCTGGAGACTGTATTTATGTGTTGCAAAAGAATAATGGAGAATTCCATTCAAGGGGGGTTTTCCAGAAGAGCCTTCTGAAGGCAAGCAGCGAGATTGCAAGCTGCAGCACCTAGGGTGCATGCTAGAATAACTGAAGGTTGGCTTGCAATGAATTGTCGTGCATCCACCTCATATTTCTGCTCAGCAGTGCAGTGGAAACACAGCTTTCCTCAACCATAGAGCTAGTTAGTGCCGAGCAGTCATTTAGGGATAGGAAGCAAAGGCTCCATTTTTTCCTGCCAACAGATACAGCTCTTCACAAAAGCAAACAACAACACCGAGAGAGCACGCACCGCCTCGGCACCGCGCTCCACGCACGCACCGGGGCTGCACTACAGAGGCTCGGGGGCGGCACGGCTCAGCTCCGCGGTGCAGCCCGGCCGCGCTCGGCTCCCGGCAGCCTTCCCCGCCCCGGCGGGTGCTGTGCAAGGCGCCAGCACCGAGCCCTCCGCCGGCTGTCAGCGGCCGGCAGCGCCCGCCGGAGCCGCAGACGTTGCGGTTCTCCTCGGAGAAGCGCCGCTGCGACCCAGCGCAGCCCGCCCCGGGGCGGCTGCCCGCGGGCAGCCCCATTTCCTGCTCCAGGGGCGTTCCCTGCAGAGGCTCCGCTCGCTGTCACCGCGCAGCATCCGAGCGGCCGTGCCCGGCCCCGGAGCCGCGACCCGCAGCGAACAATGCCACCGGGCGCGGGGCTGCGACAAAGCGGCGGGCCCGCACCCCTAGGAGCGGGGCTGGGCTGGGGGCCGCGCCCGGCGCTGCGGTTCCCTGCGCGACTGACGGGCGGGTTCTTTCTTCCTCCTCCTTCGTGGGTTTTTTTTTTCTTTTTTTTTTTTTCCCTAAATTATTAATTATTTTTTTTTTAAATTATCGTTTTTTCTTTTTTCCTCTCGATGCATCTTCCGCCCCGGCCGAGGACACCCCCCGCCTCCCGCACAATGCCGCGCCGCCTCTCTCTCTCTCTCTCAATCTATGCGTACTGGGGGGAGGGGGCTGAGCGCCGCCCGGCCCCGCTCCGCACGGCCCCCCCCGCACCTCAGCGCCCGGCCGCCGCCCGCCAGCGATACCTGTAGGAGCGCTCCCCCCGCACCGTGTGCTTCCTGAAGGGGATGATGGTGGTGCCGTTGTCCTGGATGATGTCGTTATTGTTCTCGCCATTTGGGGACAGGGCTTGGGTCGGTCCGGGCATTGGCGCTCCCGCGGCTCCGCGCCTCCCCGCGCTGCGCTGCTGCTGCTGCTGCCGCTGCTCTGCGGAAGGTGGTGCTGCCGCTGCCGCTGCCGCCGCCGCCGCTGCCGCCGTCTCGCGCCGCCAGCCCCGCCCCGCCCCGCGCGTCAGCCTCGCCACGTGACCGCCCCGCGCCATGGCAACCGGCCGACTCCGCGCCACCCCCGCCACCCCCCCCCCCCCTTCCTCCTCCGCCACCCAGCGCCGCGGCCCTCGTGCCCGGGTGGCGGCAGCGCGTGTCGGGGCGACGGCACAGAGCCGACCTGGCACCTAATACACAATGAGTAAATGCTAAACGGTACAAAACGTCGCAAATCATGCACTCCCAACCACAAAAACAAAAGAAAAAAAGAAATAGCGTAAGGAAGTCTGAGTTCACCGATGGCATTTCTGTCCCCGCATGTGAGGATGCCCAGGCTCTGCTTGCAGCCGCACTGATCGCACCACACGGCCCTCACGCTGCACTTCCAGGCTCCTCAGGCTTACACTGAGGGAAGTGACGGTGCCCTGACCATCCTGCTTGAGTCAGAAAGGAGGGAGCAGAGCCTGGCGATGCAGGAGCAGGCCTACCAGCACCACCATGCACACCACTCATCTCCCAGCCCGCGGTTAGAAGCACTCCTCACAGCCCAGCCCTGCCCCTCCTGCAGGTGCCAGGCATTCACCGTCTCCACACTTCCTTCCTCAAGCCAGCGCTGCCCTCTGATGTCTGAAGCCAAAGGAGGGACAGCCACCTCCTCAGAGGCCTGGCCCTTGCCAGGCTGTACCTCCCCACATGCCACAGTCACAGCGGAACTCACACCTCAATCATCCTACTGACAAACAGACCAGCAAGCTGCTCACAACTTGTCTCCCCTGCCCTGAAACCTGTGAGGGCAGCTATGAGCGCAGTGTCTAAGCAGCTCTCTCTCTATGGCCTCAAGGCTGCTGAATGTGAAAGAACACTTTCAAATTAGTTTGATTCGATTAATACATCAGGTAGGATTGCTTTTTTTCATAAAAGGAAAAAAAAAAAAAAACACCCCACAAGATTTTAACCAATCCTTATAATAATCACAAAATCATTAAGGGTGGAAAAGACCACTAAGATCCCCCAGCCCAACCACCAGCCATCCCCACCATGCCCACTAAATCACATCCTCAGTGCCACATCCACACAGTGAACTCCTCCAGGGATGGTGACTGCACCACCTCCCCGGGCAGCCTGTGCCACTGCCTCACCGCTCTGAGAATAATTTTTTCCTAACATCTAACCCAAATCTCCCTTGAAACCTTACCTAACCTTTCAGGCTAAATGACACTGCTGAAAGCTGAGTTTACATGGTTATGCCCACAATATAGATTTTAGATTCAAAGAGAAACCATGAGTGCAGTCAATACCTCTACACTGACTGCACAGTACTCAGTTAAGAATTGACCTGAGCTTAAATCAGCATCACACAGTAACACATGCGCTCAGAGCAATCTGACAGAAATCACATCAGCCAGCGGGTTTGCCATAGCCCTCTGAACACTGAGGCTGGAGGTATTATTTATTGCCTCTGCCAGGTTTTCCAATACTCCAAAGAGAAAAAAATGATGTTTCCAGTAACCAACCTCTGGCCCTTTGCAGATGACATACTTTATTGAAAAAAAAATGCTCAATTCATCTGACAACAGTAAACCTGCTGGAGAAAGTTTCCTTTGAGTCTGTTTAAAAACAAGCACCAAAATATATCTTGCAGAGAGGGCCAATAAGTGTCTTAGTAACATTGATGAGCAGAGAGAAGCCAGAAACGCTACATGGTGACAGAATGTAAAAATAATCTATAGTGGGCCTTCAGCTGCCAGACATAACCTTACCTGCTCTGCCAGGCAGCCAGCTATAAAACACTGTTACCCTAATTTGTAAAAATATTTTTACTTCTTCACCAGTTACAGAGAACAGAAGCTTCTTTATTGAAGCCTCCCAAACCACTTCAAACGTACTGGCAGAGGTACAGCAGAGAAGCACAAGTAAGGACAGCGTGGCAGCCTCCCTTTAGACACCTCTCTGCCTTTCCATAAGGATTTAAGCACAAAGAACTGCCTCAGTGAAGTGCCTCACCTTTACCAAGGCTGAGCCAGGCACAGGCAGAAGCTGCTTGTTGCAGGGCTACAGACAACACACGCTGATTTGATTAATCTAGCACAGCCCAAGGAGCACAGGGCACAGCATTGACCTGGCATGCGTGGCATTCCCTCTGTTACACCACCGTTTTCAAGCACTGTGTGGTCAGTCAATGCAGCTCTTATCTTTATGTGCAGGAAGCCACCACGTGGTCTTTCTGTTTTCGTCAAACTGAGCACAGATTTGAGACATAACTCCAGTAACACAGGATGAGAAACAGGTACCTGCCAGTATTACCAGGTGACTGCATCCTTGCTGGCCGCGCAGCTTATGGATGCAGTGGGCATATGAGCTTAAAGATCTAAAGGTCAGAGCAGTGTCAAAACACTTATATATGTGATAAATAGAAAGTACTGAAATCTAGTACTCACATCTGACAAGTCAACTGAGCAGAAGTGAGCAAAACTGAGCCAAGAAACCAATTAATGCACATTGGAGATGACAAAGCTTGATGCAACAGATCTTCAAGCATCAAGAACAGCAGCAGCAGTGGTGGGAAGGGACATATGGAGGTCCCCAGTCCACCTCCTGCCCAGAACAGGATTGCCACTGCCACCATGAGCTCAGGGCATGCGTGGCTTTCTCCAGCCAAATCCTGAAGTTCTCTAAGGACAGAAATGCTCTGCCTTCCCACCGCGCTGCATTAACCTGTTGTTCCTCATCTCCTACCTGAGTTTGGCTGATCCCACAGTTTCACCAGAGAGCTTCAGCTGAGCTACAGACAGAAAGAAGCATCACTCTATACCAGTACATACGTTTCAGTACAATTTCCACCATGGTAAAACCGGCAGAGTGGAAATTCAACAGTCCTCAACATCATTCTCTAAAACTATGCTTGCTCCTTTCTCTTCAGAACTTTCACTTCCAGTTCCTTGTTACTTGCTGTAGTAAAATAGCTATGCAGCACAATTTATAATGCCTGAAAGAAAAATCCCCTAAAAGCCCAAACAGCAGGGGCTGAAAAGCCTCAGGTGTCTCAAGGCAGAATTTCATACTATCTAGCTGATGCGGAAATTACTTATGATATTTTAACACTGACAAGAAGTGCCCAATGTACAGCCTCTGAAAACAGAGTGGATGTCTCTAGCCACACTAGAGAACTCAACAAACATATTTGTCAGACGATTAAAAAAACACCATTTGTAGTGAGCTTTATATGACACAGCCAAATTGCAAATTACAATTAATGACTGCAGAAATTCCCCACTGCTTGAGTAACTTCTTTCTGTGGTGGAAGGGAGATCAAGAATGCCAATGAGCATCCCTCATCTCTGATATCTTCCATACTTGCTCAAATTAGCAAAGGAGTCCCTGTGTGATATTACTCCTTGCACTGCTCTCAGAATACTCCTCAGCTTCATACTACAGCTAACACCATTCAGTATGATTATTTTGGCCAACATGCTTCCCTTCTCAGAGGAGTTTCATGAACACTCCTGTCACACGTGCAGTTTTTTCACTGGGAAAGAATGAGAAAACTCCAGGCTAAGAGTTGGAAGGTAGCAAAGCCTTTCAGAAAGCAGCAATCCTGACCAATGTAGTCCACTTTTGTAATTCAACTACCATTTTCCCGTACTCCTAATTTATCAGAAGAGAGATTAACAGACATCCACAAAATAAAGGTTTTACAGCCTGTTAAAGCAAAATTAAAGTTATTTTTAGCATTCAAGTGTGTGCATTCATCAGGAACAGGTTGTACACGAAGGTACACAAAGGATCTGGTCAACCGTGTTCAGATTTGAAAATAAATGAATAAAGTAGGAAAAGGTTGGAAAGAGCTAGAAAAGTTACCCTGAAGGCTTGGACGCATCTTGTTCAAGGAAGCCCCCATTCATCAAGGTACACAGACTCACTTCATTCCCAGTATGAGTATTTTCAGTAAAATGGATAAAATCATGAGTGCACTGTGACAGAATCAGCCTAATATCAAATAGTCTACACCTTGAATAATAGTTTCATTAGTAAACTAAAAACAGAAGCCTTAGGAAATCCCAATTTGCATGTTATCTAATGGAAGTGCAGATGTGATATCTGCAACTACACATCTGTTAGGGAGCACTAGTTTGTGCCAGCCTAAATTAATGCATGGTTCCAACCTGTAATGATAACAATTACACAGAAATATCCATAGGGGAATTGGCAACAACAATGTTAACTAACCCATGGAACGCATATCAGATGCGATGTGCTGTACGATATGTTTCAGGCTAACCTGGCCCGTGCGGAAGAGCTCACATTTCCTGTTTCACTGACATATCATCCAACGGCCTCACTGATTAAGCCAAAGGAAAGCTCCCACTGTGATGTAAAAATCACTTAAAATGATAACTCTAAACCAGAACTGTACGTTTCTCTTTGTATACATGGCACCAAACCAACTCTCCCATGCCATTACTTCCTTCAATGCCGTATGTTTCAGGGCATGCTGCATTTAAATTAATCATGCCAAAGAGCAAACAGTAATGATTTGTCAGGACAAAGAAACACTGCATGAATTTTATTAAAACAGCTACTTATCACTCCAGACATCCTGTAGATAAAGAATGAGCTTCCCACCCCTGGGGATCATACTGTTGCCACTTTAAGCAAAGTCTTGATTATTTGCCTTCCCTGGAGAGAGACAGAAAGAGAAAGAAAGAGAAAGAAAGAGAGGGCTGTCCCAATTAGACAATGTGCATGGACCATATCCCTATGAGGTAATTCAAGCCTATTTTTAAATATATGGGCATATTTATATTTCAGAGGTCATATTTCACATTTTAAAGTGTTCTGTGCCTGGGAGGAAGAGTGAGAGAAAAGTTCAGGTCTTTGTCAGCGAGGCATTCCTGAAAATTTAGCCATAAGCTGCAAATCCAATCTGGCCATTACTGTATGAATTCCTCACTAAAGAGGATAGTCTTGAAGAGCCACAGCCTGTGGGCATTT